GCCCCCAGAGTTTCAAACATAGAGAGCGGGCGGTTCCATTTCAAAATGTGGCTCTCGTCTGAGCGCCGCGCACGTTGATCTTAAAAGTTTGCAACGGTTAAGTATGGAGTGCGGCTCATTTGTTTCAAAAATTGGCTCGCCTTAACGCCGCGCCCTTTCGCCGCAACAGCTGGAAACAGTTCCAAGGATTGCCAGGACGAGACAGTCACGTTAACTCGCGGTGCGGAAGTCCCAGGAAAAAACGGCCTGACACAATGTATGATTGTCGTGGCGCACCAGTCGCTTTGATCGCGGCGTTGAAGTCCCAGGTATGGAGTTGTGGCACAATTGACGGTGTTCAGACCGTTGTGTTCTGATGTGCCACGTCCCACAGTGTTTGATCTAATTCGTGTAGGGGCCTTGGAGGGAGGTTTATTGCAACATCGTTTACGCGTCTGGGTTTACGCTGATCCTCCCCTCCTCGTCCTCCTCCTCATCCTCCTCCGCCTCCTCCTTCTCCTACTCCTCCTCGTCCTCGTTTAGGTCGTTGGCTCGAGGCTGTAGAAAGGTTTAGACGCTTTGGTCCTTCCAGAGGCTTCACTGGAGCTCCTCTTCCTCGGCGTCCTCCTCCTCGACCTCCTCCTCCTCCTCCTCCTCCTCCTCCTCCTCCTCCTCCTCCTCCTCCTCCTCCTGCTCCTCCCTTTGCTTGTCCCCACGTGTTTGGCACTCTCCCGAACCGTCCATTGATTGAGAACTCACTTTGCACACCGAAAGCTGCTGGTCTCCGTCGCCGCTCCTCACGCCACCTCCCCTGCGGGGATGGGTCCGGCCGAGGTCCGCGTGGGACGTCACTCCGCTGGACCGCCCGGGAGCCGACGAGCGTGAACACGTTTGAGCAGCTGGCCGCGCTCGGAAACGAGACGTCTCTTTCTGGTCCGCGCAGGACGTCGCTCCGCTAGACCCCCGAGGAGCCTACGAGCGTGGCGTCGGTTGTACAGTCGGCAGCGCCCAGGCAGATGATGTGCCCTGGCTCCGCGTAGTTCGTCGCACCGCTGGACCTTCCAGAAGCACACGAAAGGGATGTCAGTCGAGCAATTCGCACAAGCCCCACGGAGGGGAGGTCCCGTTGGGGTCCGCGCACGGCGTCACTCTGGTGGACCGCCCAGGGGCTCACGGACATGGGGACAGTTGCGCAGTTGGCAGCACAGATGGAGAGCGGTCCATCGGATGCAGCAAGCAGGGAAGCGAGGTAGGAGGGAAAAGGCAGGACGGAGCGAACGGCGCAACAGTCGCCACTTGCGCGAGCTTCTGGGAGGTCCAGCGGAGTGACGACCTACGCAGACACAAACGGGACCTGATTTCCCTGGCGGCTGCCAACTGCGCACCCAACGTAAGTTTTGTTTCTGAAGGCGCAACGGAGTGGCGTCCAATACTGAGCAGAACGGAGCATCCTATCACTGGGCAATGCCAATTGCGCAACTGTCGCCCATTCCGCGAATTCTGGGAGGTATGGCGGCGCGACGTCCTATATGGACCCTAACGGGGCTTCCATCCGGGAGGCGCTGCCATCTGCGCAACCGTCGCATCTTTCGTGGGCTTCTGGGAGGTCCAGCGGCGCGTCGTCCTACGCGCAGCCAACTGGGACCTGGCCTCCACAAGCGCTCTCGATTGCGCAACTGTCGCCCCTTCCGTGAGCTCCTGGGGGGTCCAGGAGAGAGACGTCGTGAGCAGACCCATAGGGTCTGCCCCCGTAGGCGCTGCCCACTGCGCAGCCGTCGCCGCTTTGGATCGCAGGCGGCCCTGCCTGGTCCCCTGTTCGTGAGCTCCTGGGAGGTCCAGCGGAGCGACGTCCTGCGCGGACCCGAGCTGTAGTCAGGACGCTGAAGCCAAGACAACTTCGAGCTCAGGAGAGGCTCTGGTTTTCGTAAGGAAACGGACTCTATACACCGACTCTTTTTCCGGCCCTGCACTGACACTTGCACAAAGAATCGGATCCTGGAATATACGGTATCCTGGTGCATACATGTTTCCTTGTTTCCCCCGGGAAACGGGAAAAACAAATATTCGCCACACCATCCCGACGTCGTCCCCCAACCCTCAACCAAGTCCTGGGAATTGAAAAACGGCCCGCCACTGGCAATGTATGTGTTCCAGCTTCCGAGGAGGAGGAGGAGGAGGAGGATCAGGAGGAGGGAGCAGGAGGAGAAAGGAGCAGGAAGAGGAGGGAGGAGGAGGAGGAGGAGGAGGAGGAGGAGGAGAGGAGAGGAGGAGGAGGAGGAGGAGGAGGAGGGAGGAGGGAGGAGGAGGAGGAGGAGGAGGAGGAGGAGGAGGAGGAGGAGGAGGAGGAGGAGGAGGAGGAGGGGGCGGCCAATGGCCCTGTGCTCACCGTGTTCCCTGGTGGCATGGCGCAGGGGCCGCCGTCCTCTTCCCCCGCCGCGGGCGCCGCCGCCTCTGCGCAACAAAAACGGCCACGCGCTCGGGAGCCCCTGGGGGGGTCCGGGGGCGCGACGCCCTGCGCCTGCAGTCGAGTCTCATCTGGCGGCGAGCGAAGGGGGGGAAGTGAGAAGGCGAAGGCCTTCGCAGAAGGCGGCGGTGCTTCTCGGGAGCCCTCGCGCCCGAGAGGTTCTCTACGTCTTCGGGGAGGGCCCAGAGAACATCTCAGAAGGCCGGGGGCCTCCTGGAGCTCGGGAGCTCCTGGGAGGTCCAGCGGCGTGACGCTCTGCGCCTACAAACAAATATCATCTGGCGCCGTTTCATACATGGGACGCACAGAGACAGACTGGTACTATATGTCCTCCTTGGAGGCGCGCGTCCGACCCGAACAAATGGTATACCCATCCTGTAGTAGATCGTTTCCCGAGCGGTGTGGCCAGAAAGCGCCCGCCACGACGTATATACGACAAGACTTCTTGGTGCGCGCGTCGCCCCTGGGGGGGGGGGGGGGGCGGCGCACACATAGTATCAGTATGAAGGGGTGGCGCCGAGCTTCGCGGGGGCATGCGATGCACGGGGCCCCCGTGCGGATGGCACCAGGGGCGAACTCCCTCGCCACCGGCAGGCGGGACAAGGCGCCCCTTTCAGGCGCTCCCTCGCCACATATGGCCCCGCTGATGCTGCCACTTTGCCGCAGACACCGCTGGGCACGACGCCGAGCAATCAGCTCTGACCACCCCCGAGGTCCCCCGCGTCGCCGCGGCGCCGCGCACGTCCAGAGCGCGGGACCAAAGGGGGGGAGGGGGATAGGCCCGCACGGAGAGGCGAAGGGAACGGAGGAGGAGGAGGAGGGGGAGGACGAGGAGGAGGAGGAGGAAGGGGAGGAGGAGGAGAGAGGAGGAGGAGGAGGAGGAGGAGGAGGGAGGAGGAGGAGGAGGAGGAGGAGGAGGTGGAGGGGGAGGAGGGGGAGGAGGAGGAGGAGGAGGAGGAGGAGGAGGGGAGGGGGAGGAGGAGGAGGAGGAGGAGGAGGAGGAGGAGGAGGAGGAGGAGAGGAGGCGGAGGAGGAGGACGAGGAGGAGGAGGAGGGGAGGAGGAGGAGGAGGAGGAGTAGGAGGAGGAGGAGGAGGAGGAGAGGGAGGAGGAGGGGGAGAGGAGAAGGAGGAGGAGGAGGAGGAGGAGGAGGGAGGAGGAGGAGGAGGAGGGGGAGGAGGAGGAGGAGGAGGAGGGAGGAGGAGGAGGAGGAGGAGGAGCAGGAAGAGGAGGAGGAGGAGGAGGAGGAGGAGTGAGGAGGGAGGAGGGGGGCGGAGAGGTGGAGGGGGAGGAGGAGGCGGAGGAGGAGGGAGGATGGGGGAGGGGGGAGGAGGAGGAGGAGGAGGAGGAGGAGGAGGAGGAGGAGGAGGAGGAGGAGGAGGAGGAGGGGAGGAGGAGGAGGAGGAGGAGGAGAGGGAGAGGAGGAGGGGGAGGAGGAGGGGGAGGAGGAGGAGGAGGAGGAGGAGGAGGAGGAGAGAGGAGGAGGAGGAGGAGGAGGAGGAGGAGGAGGAGGGGAGGAGGAGGAGGAGGAGGAGGAGGAGGAGGAGGAGGTGGGGATAGGGGTGGGAGTGCAGGCAACCACATATGCGCAACCTGCCCCTGCAGGGGCAGAGTTTGAAAAACGCCGGCCAGCGCTCGGAAATTCGAAGGGCGTCTGCAGCTGGGTGAACCCCACCAGGGGTACATGATTCTCGGATGCCCCGGCGTCGGCTGGACCCGCAGGCGCAGGGTTCGCAAGTGGTCGCAGAGTGAAAAAAACGGCGAAGGGGCGGGGTCCAAACCACGGCCTCGGACAGCGGGCGAGCGTGGACCCTGGGAAAAGTCCAGTACCTAGGCCACATGACTTCGCGCATCGCGCCCCGCGATGCGCGGGGCGCGATCATCTTCGCGCCTCGCGCGAGATTCGCATGGTCCTCTCGGGAGAAGGGGCAGGCGCTCTGGCCCAGACCGCGACGCGCGAAGCGCGGCTATCTTCGCGCCCCCGCGGGTGACCTAGGGGACACGCATGTGGCGGAGTCTGCGGCCGGGTGCAAAATGGGAGGGATGCGCCTCTCTGGTGGAACAGGGGTGATTGTAGGAGTGGTCGTTGCCCTGAGGATCGAAGACCTCCATCCTGGAAGTCGGGCCTCCATTCTGGAGGCGGAGAGCCTCCAGGATGACGGAGAGAGGCCTTCCGAGTGGAGGCCGGGCCTCCAATCTGAAGTTTTTTGACCCTCTGGATGTCTTCCCAGCGGGCTTCCCAAGGGAGGCGGCAAGAGGACGCCTCGAGCAGCCCCCCGGTGACCGTCGCAGAGGGCCGAACCACGCCCTGCTCCCGACCAGGATCTGCTCCAGGCCGGCCCTCGGTCGGATATCTCCCGGGGAATCACCCGTGGCCAGCTCTCCGAGCCGCGTCCTGCCGTGGGGACGAGAATCCTCCAGCCGCGTCCTGCCGTGGAGACGAGAGCCCTCCATGAACGCCCGGAAGCCTCCAAGACGACGCCGTCGACGTCGCCCCTTCACGCGCGCCCACACCCCACACCACAACCCACGCCGTGGCCCACGCCCACGCCGCTGGCCTGGTGCACCCCAGGCGTGTCGTAGAGGCTCGAGTACACGCGGGAGGTGACCGACTTCCGGAAGGCCCGCAACGGGATGATGCCCAGAGTCGTCCCGGGCATGCTCGAGACTAGCGGCCTGGTGACCTCATCGACCTCTGGGGGCGGCCCACGTGCTTCGAGTTCTGGACGATCAAAACCCTCCCCCCCGCCCCCCACCGAGTAAGCCTTGGCCCCGCCAGCCGCCCAGTGGGGATTGCTGCTATCTCCTTCGGGTTTCGCAGCACCCGTCCCAGCCTAGGTGGGGCACGTTGGGAGAGCTGCCAGGGTCCAGGTCGGGGTAGGGACGACTTCTCAGGCGTGGGGGAGGTGGACCGTGTGCCCAGACCTCCGTGGTCCAGTCTTCGGACACCAGGACCGCCAAAAAACGACCCATGGTAAAACACCGTCCAACAGCAGGAAATCCTCCTCCCGCTCATCATCCTTCTCCTCCTCCTCCTCCTCCTCCTCCTCCTCCTCCTCCTCCTCCTCCTCCTCAGCAGCAGCAGTAACAGCAACTGCAGCAGAGAGCCCCTGAGGCACCCAAGAAGGCACCAAAACGGCCTCAAGAGTGACCCAAGAGGGCCCCAAGAGAGACCTGCAGGCCTCCAAAATAAGCCCAAGTCTTCAGGAGGATCCCGATAGAGCCCAAGATGGCCCCGAAGTGTCTCCAAAGGGGTTCTCATGGCGTGACTGCATGCTGTTACGCATCCCTGATCAGAGCAACACGCCTGGCGATTGTTTTTGGATGGGCTGGTGGGGATATGCGAAACGTCGAGCATGCGTTTCGTTGACTCCAATTGCCTTTTCGCACTGCCGCCTCCAACGGACCCTCGGGACGCCTCAGTGGCCCCGGGGATCGACAGGAAGAGGGCCGCACAGGGGTGCCCAGACCCCAGACCTCCAGAGTGTAGGCCCAGCCTACCTCTGGCAAGAGCTGCTGCTCCTCTGTGCTCCTGCATGGCTGGACCTCGCTCCACCCCCATTGGGACACCGCTGACCCCGAGGTCGGGATACATGATCAGACGTCCTCTGCGTCGGGTTTCGAAGCATTCCCTGGCCCATTGCGGGCGGCAAAAAAGTGTGCTGCTGATTCATGGAAACCACAAGGCTCGACCGCCAAGATGGAGGTTCGATCCTCTGTGAGCGACGCGGTTGTTGAGAACCAGAAAGCCAGTTGAACATAGGACGCGACCAAGCTCGCTCACTTCCGCCCCAGACCTCTGCTGACGCTTTGAAGCAATACAAATAAGAGACTTTTCTCGAGTTGTCGGTGTCCCCGGGTGGCCGTTTTCGGGTTCCAGGCCATCTGAAAACAATCGGGGACGAAAAGCTGGCTCTGGCAAGCAAAGTACCACCAGCCGTGAGGACCGCGACGTTAGATTTCTGGGATAGCGTCCACCGTTTCCCCTTGGATGCCAAGGGGGTGCACACGCTGAAGGGCAACCTGCAGGGGGGACACCGGCTCAGTGGGGGGGCATCGATCTGGAATCGACGATACATCGCGGATAGATCGGCGATTGGCCCGACAACGAAACCGCTCGTTCTTGGACGGAGTGAGCTCTCGGGCCCCATATCGACGATGCATCGACGATTGGAGGCCGATGCACCCCCCCGAACCTATACCCTATACCCACCCTTGACGTTACCCCTTGTCATGCACAGGAGGCGATTGAAATCGCACCTGCCTAGCCGCAACGCGCGCCTCCTTTCCTCGCGCGCGCCGCACAGCCCGTGTCTAACCTCTCTGCTGGCAGGGCTGCACGGGCCCTTTCTCGGTGGGAGAGGGAGCGCGCTGCGGAGCGCTGCAGGGGTGCAACATCGGCAGCGCTCGGCCACACTGCTCTGCAGGCAACCCTAAGATCCGACGTTGCCAAGACAGAATCGGGCGGCGCGCACAAGGGGGCAGGGGGAGGGGGGAGGGCTTCTTAGAAGCAGGCTGCTTCTTAGAAGGCGCCGCCCTTACACCTACACCCCGGGGGGATGGGGGAGGTGCTTGGGCGCTGCTTGCTGGAGAGGGCAGCGAACGGGGGGCAGGGAAGGTGCACCTCTCGGCGTCCACCTGCGGGGCCCCAGAGGGCCCCCTTGGGGCCCGCTGCTCGCGTTCTGATCCAGACTCGGGGCGATTCCAAGTCGTGGCGGCGAGGGCCTCCCCGGAGGCCCGGCACACGAGCCGAGGGCACGGCAGTCTGGATGACCTTGTCCTCCTCTGACCTCGATGCTCCCCCGCGTGCGCCGCGCCCCCATTACGAGGCGCCCGACGTGCGCGGAGACGGGGCCCCGCGCCAGTGGGCACACCGCCCGGTGAGTCGTCCAGAAGCTCATATTTGGGCACTGTTTCGGCTGCCCGTGGTGCATCTCCAGCACGTCGACGATCCCGCGCGATATTTGAAACGAAACCATGCCCAGGATCCAGTCCGACAGAAACATATCTGGGGTGCCTCTTAGATCTAGCGCGTCTGGAGGATGTAGCGGGCAACGCGGCCGTTCCAGAGCGCTCTGGAACTCTCTGAGAGCGTTCTGGAACGCTCGGGAACGATTCATCCCAGTCCAAGCCCATCCCGCCCGAATCTTCAAGCCACTCATCCGCTCTGGCCCCATTTGGGCGGCCTTGGACCTTGCCGTTGGGGTAGCGAGCTTCCAAGTGGTCCAGCATGTTCTGCACGAAGAAAGACTTGCCCGCGTTCGCGGATCCGACCATAACCACGTCGTTGCCCTGCCTCGCCTTCAGTATCTCGCCGACCGTGTTGCCCACGTTCTTGCCAGTCTGGTTACTCACCAGCTGCACGTCGACGACGCGCTTCAGGCCCCTCTTCAGCAGCGCGTGCCGCAGCCACGCTTCGACCTTCTCAAGATCTGTTCGCTTGGGGAGCAGGTCCACCTTGGTGGCGACCACGAATATCGGGTTTACCCCGACCATGCGTCGAATGTTTCGGATAAAAGCCCCGTTGAAGTCCAGCACGTCTATGATGAATACCACGAGGCACCTGCGCTGCCGGATAGCGTACAGCTGTTGCTCCAACAGCTCCGCTGGCACCGCGGCTTCGGCGCCGAGCGCCCAGTCCCCGATCACCTCCTTGACAACCGGCTGCAGCTGCACGCCTTTGAGCGTGTCAGAGCAGCGGCTGCACAGCATCTTGCGGTGCAACTTCTCGTTGTACAGCTCCAGGTAGACCGTGAGGGGAACGTAGCCGACGTTGCCAGAGTCGTGGGTCTGTATCGGGACGCCGCAGCCGCGGCAGCAGACGACCCTCTCGAGGACCTTGCCAGGCTTGGACATGATGGTGAAACCCTTGGTGACGGGGTCGTCCCGGTGGGGATCGTAGTGGTTGGGATCCCTCTTGCGCTGCTCGGGCACCATGTCGTAGACGAGCGCCTCGATCTCCTCCTGGGTCGGGCCTGTCGGGGAGCCGACGGGGCCCGGGGCGAGTCGCTCTGGGGGCCGGTCGGGCTCCGGGGACTGCTCCAGCCGCTCCTGTTGGGAGGACGCCAGCTCACACCTGCACCCGCCCTGGCTGGGCCGACCCTGGGCCCAGGATCGGTGTTCACGCCTCCCCGGACATGCTCGCGTCGTGCAGAGAACACGGGGAAGGTTCTGGTCATCTTCGGCGTCTGGGGGCCCGAGGAGGAGGAGGAGGAGGAGGAGCAGGAGCAGGAGCAAGAGGAGGAGGAGGGAGGATGAGGAGGAGGAGGCAGGAGGGAGGAGGAGGAAGAGGATGAGGAAGAGGAGGAGGCAGGAGGAAGGAGGAGGAGGAGGAGGAGGAGGAGGAGCAGGAGCAGGAGCAGGAGGAGCAGGAGGAGCAGAAGGAGCAGCAACAGGAGGAGGAGGAGAGCTCCAGGGACCCCGTGCTGGAAAAAGCAGGACGTCGCACGTCTGGGTCCACCGCGCCTCCCTGGCCAGGCCAAAGAGGGCGTGCACACCGACAATGTGCCCAGGACGGGCGGCCATGGTCGGTGCGGGTGGTCAGGTACCCAGAGATCCGACGTTGCAAAAGGAATGCAGCATCGCGACCCCATCACTCTGCGGCATTCCTCCTCCTCCTCCTCCTCCTCCTGCTCCCTCTCTCCTCCTCCTCCTCCTCCTCCTCTCTCCTCCTCCTCTCCTCCTCCTCCTATCCTCTCTCTCTCTCTCTCCTCTCCTCCTCCTCTCTCCTCTCCTCCTCCTCCTCCTCCTCCTCCCTCCTCTCCTCCTCTCCTCTCCTCTCCTCCTCCTCTCCTCCTCCTTACTCCTCCTCCTCCTCCTCCTCCTCCTCTCCTCCTCCTCCTCCTCCTCCCTCCTCCTCCTCCTCCTCCTCCTCCTCCTCCTCCTCCTCCTCCTCACTCTGCGGCATATTTTTCGGGCCGGATCGATCTGTGTTGGCCCTGGGGCCCGCGGACGGGCGAAAACGCCCAGTGCGAAAAAAACGCGACGCCGGGATCGCAGGGTTCACTAGAGGACAGAAAATCCACCCCCATAGCGATCACTCCGACACGCGAAGCCGTTTAACAAACGCACCCCGAGAAGGAATCGAACAGGGCAAGGCTGTTTAGTAAACGCCCAGGGCCGTTGAGTGAATGCCAATTGTCGGGTCCGGGTGGTTTTTCCTCCCTCGATTAACGTCCACCAGTCCTTGATCTCATCCAAGTCGTAGACTCGATCCTGGGGAAATCAAAAAGTACCGATACCGCTACTACCTCTCCTGGCGCGCGTTCTGACCAAAATTTCGAGGCGCATCTGGCAGTGGCGACGAAGGCCTCCCAGGAAGCCCAAAAGGGGAAAGCGAGGTAAGGGTAGAGGTATGGGCACCTTTCCCTCCTCCGAGATCCAGGACCCTCACCTTCGAGTTGTGCGCTTGGCCGCCCCGCCCTGGGCGCACCGACGGCTTCCTCTCGGCGGCGCGCGGGCGGGGGCAGGGCGAGGCCTGGGGCCGTGGCTGGCCGGGAGGGCACCCCCTGACCCCACCGAAAGGGCCCAGGGATCCACAAAGAAATAGACACCAGAGGCCAGGATTCCCCATATCCTGTCCACTACTTTCTGGGCTTTCGTTCCCCCCCCCCACATTTCCCAAATCCCACCAGCCCTCTGGGCGTCGGTGGTTTAGAGCGTTTCCTCTTCCACCCCTCCTTCTTCCCCTTCGGGGAGGGGTTTACCCCTCCCCCTACCCCCTCCCCACTGACCTGGACAGGGGGGGCCGCGGGTAGTTAGAGCGTCCAAGATGGCCCAACACGGCTCCAAGAGAACCTCAGGGAGCTCAAAATGACCTCCAAGATGGCTCCAGATAGCACAAGATGCCTCAAGATGGTCCCCATGATGTTCCAAGACGCTCCAAGAGCTTCCCAAAACGGTTCCAAGTGCTCACAAGAGCATCACTAGGATGCCTCCAAGAGGCCAAAATGCTTCAAAACCATAGGGAAAATCAATGTTTTTGGTGTTCTCACTTTTTCGCTTGCGATGCGCATCCGAGGCGTCAAGATGGCTCTAAGATGGCTCAAGATAGCTCCAAAAGGGGCCCAAGAAAGCCCCAAGACGGCACCAAGAGCGGCAACGAACGCTCCAAGAGCACCCCAAGAGGGGTTCAGAAGGCGATTTTAAAGGCTCTACAAGGGCGACGCTAAAAAATGCTTCCGCTTTCTGTGCCAGATCCCCTCCAACATGGCTCTACCAGCGCCTCTGAGGCCTCCAAGAGCGCTTCGAGAGCGCCCCAAACGACGCCCAAGAGGCCTCCAAGAGGCTCACAAGGTCGTCAAAGATGGGCCAAGACGGCTCCCTGAGAGCCTCGGGAAGCCCAAGACACCTTCCAAGATGGCTGACGATTGCGCGACCTGCCTAAAGATGGCTCCGACGATGTTTCAAGACGTTCCAAGACTGCTCCAAAACGATTCCAACAGGCTGGCTCAAGATAGCGCAACCTGCCTCAAGATGGCTCCGCAGATGTTCCAAGACGCTCCGAGACCGTCCCAGGACGATTCCAAGTGGCCATATGAGCTCTCCAGGATCCCCTTCCCCCTCGCCTACCTATTATTCCTCCTCCGTCATCCCCCTCCCCTTCTTTGTCTTTTTTCCACATCTTTACAATATTTCCCATAATCCCACCAGCCCTCTGGGCGTCGGTGGTTTAGAGCGTTTCCTCTTCCACCCCTCCCTCTTCCCCTTCGGGGAGGGGTTTACCCCTCCCCCTACCCCCTCCCCACTGACCTGGACAGGAGGGGCGGGGAGCGGTCAGAGCGTCCAAAACGGCCTCGGCGAGGAAGCCAAAATCATTGATTTTACTATGGTTTTGGCCCCATTTTGGCCTTCTGAGGGGGCAGCGCTAATTAGAGCTCCCCTCTTCTTTGATCGATTTCCTCCACGATGGCCGCAAGAGGCCCCCAGGATGCCCCAAGAGGCCGCAGGATGGCCCCAAGATGGCCCCAAGAGGCCCCCCAAGAGGCCCCCAGGAGGCCCCCAAGAGGCCCCAAGAGACCCCCCAGAGGCACCCAAGGGGCAAAGATGGCCCCAAGAAGCGCCCAGGAGGCCCCCAAAGGCCCCAAGATGGCCCCAAGAGGCCCCAAGAGGCCCCCAGGAGGCCCCAAAGAGGATCCCGAACGGCCCACAGAGGCCCCCCCGAGGCACCCAAGACGCCGAAAAGCCCCTCAGGACGACCCTCTACTCGCCTGGGCGTCGTTTCTGGACGGGCTGGTGGGGGATACGCGAAGCGTCTAGAATTTCCCCATATTTTCTTGGGAGTCGGCGATTCCTTGTGTTCGTGTGCGATTCCCCCCCCTGACCCACGGAGGCCCCCACATACTGTGTGCTCACTGCTGGGGGAGGTGGACACCTCAGTTCTTGCCTTCGGGTACGTAAGAGCAGAAGGAGGAGGAGGAGGAGAAGGAGGAGGAGGAAAAGGAGGAGGAGGAGGAGGAGGCGCAGGAGGAGCAGGAGGAGGAGGATGAGGAGGAGGAGGAGCAGGAGGAGCAGGAGGAGGAGGAGCAGCGGGAAGGAGGAGTGGAGGAGGAGAGGAGGAGGAGGAGGCGGAGAAGAAGCATCAGGAGGAGGGGGAGGGGAAGGAAGAGGCGGAGGAGGAGGAAGCAGGAGGAGGAGGAGGAGGAGGAGAGAAGGAGGGGGAGGAGGAGGAGGAGGGGAGGAGGAGGAGGAGGAGGAGGCAGAGGAGGAGGAGGAGGAGGAACAGAAGGAGGAGGAGGAGGAAGAGGAGGAGGAGGACGAGGAGGAGGAGGAGGAGGAGGAGAAGCAACATGAGGAGGAGGGGGAGGAGGAGAAGGAAGAGGGAGAGGAGGAGGAGGAGGAGGAGGAGGAGGAGGAGGAGCAGGAGGAGCAGGAGGAGCAGGAGGAGGAGCAAGAGGAGGAGGAGGACGAGGAGGAGGGAAAAGGAGGAGGGAAAATGTTCCCCCCTGCCCCCGATTCGGTTGACGATGGGTTACCACCGCCAGCCCGGAGACAAGGGTTTCCCCCTGCCCCCGCTTGGACCGAGGATGGGTTACCACCCCCGGTCCGGACTCAAAGGTTTCCCCCTGCACCCAGCCGCCGTCGTCGTCCTCACCTGCTGTTCCTCCTCTTCCTCCTCACCTGATGGGTCGGGCGAATCGCCATCTGAAGAGCGCATGGGGAGGGGGCTCCCGCCTGAGACTTTCTCACAATTCACTCACAGACGAGGCTCCCGCCTGATACTTCCCCCATATTCACGCCTCGGGAGCCACAAAACCACGACAATTATAAGGTTGAGGATGACCCGCTCAAGTAATAACCCTGAAATGTGGGCCCCATAGGGAAGGGGCTCACGTCTGAGATTTCCGCACAATTCACTCACAGATGAGGTTCCGGCCTGATACGTCCCCCAAATTCAAGCTTCAGGAGCCCAAAAGTGATGACAGTTACAGTTTCGAGGATGACCTGTTCGGATTAAGAACATGAAATGCGGGCCCCATAGGGAGGGTGCTCCCGCCTGAGACTTCCTCACAGTTCACTCACAGACGAGGCTCCCGGCTGATACTTCCCCCACATTCAAGCCTCAGTGGCCCAAAAGTGACGACAGTAACAAGTGCGAGGATGACCCGCTCGCGTTAAAAAACATTATCCCGGCAAAGCAACCTAACAGCCATGTGTAGGAGCATATCTGGCAGCATTCCCTCAGCCTGCATCAGCCTCAGCCTCAGCACGAAGCGACCTAGCTAGAAGGACAAAGCGCTGAATGTACACCGATGTGTTCGACGACTGCGTATGTAATGATGTGACGATATAGAGACTGAGCCCTTCGTGAATGTCTACATGTTTTTCTGACGCCTACAAACGGCGCTGACGTGTGTGAGAAAATTGTCCGCGCAGCAAAAGCCGGCGAAGCGTGCGGGAGCTCGCATGCTGAGACAGACTACGTCTGCAGACCGCCAGCTGCAAAAGCTTGCGAGCGGCTCTTGGAAGATGTTTACGGAACGGAGCTACGGAGCTCACCGCAGGAACTCGCATACTGAAAAGGAATGCATCGAAACCGCACGCTGCGAACCCTGCAGGCTGAGAAGCACCGCAGGATGTCGCATGCTGAAAAGCACTTGTACTGCAGAGCGCTAGCATTCCATCTCGGGCTCGGACCCCCCCGTCCTGATCCAGAACGTGTCCGCGACACGTGCAGGTTCACCGCGCACAGCTGCACACGAGCGCAGGCTGAGAAGCACCACGCGCATGTAGGCTGAGAAGCACCACGCGAATGCAGACGGACAGACTGAACAGCACCGCCACAACGCAACCTGCATCTCATGACTCCTCAAGCTCGCGCAGGCCATCCCAGTTGCTGTCGGGCCTTCGCGCAAGCGATCTTCGTCGCGGCAATCTCGTCCGTGAAGAGCTCGGCAAAGGCCTTGGCGATCTGCTCCGGGGGGCCGGATTCGATGATGCTCCGGTCAGGCAAGCCGTGGCTCAAGAGTTGGTTGAAGCTTCTGGGGCGCGACAGGCTGACGTAGTAGGCAAGCCAAATGGACTCCTTCTTGAGTCCTGGCGGAAACGTCCAGTGCACGATGAAGCCTGGGTCCGTCGTCTTGCCCTGGACGCCATGCAGAGTCCCCTGCTTTTTGGGCAGCACGGTCAACTGCGTCCTGGACACCGCGATGGCCGGGCCACCTGTCTTCGCTTTGAACTTCCAGGGGCGCGCCTGCGGGGTGATCGCGAGCACTCCGCGCAGGTCGGGGCCGGCAGGCTGAGAAGCACTGCCAGCTGTCACCGGCGCGGCCTTCAAGAAAAGTTCATCGCTGTCATCGATCTTGACATAGACGGCCTTTGGCATGTAGTAGAGTACGACCACGCCGTCCGAGACAATGGACGGGCGGCCCTCCACCGGAGGCTCCAGAGCGTGCAGCTCTATGCCTACCACTTTGCCTGGCGCGCCACGGACATACTTCGGCGGCAAGACGGATTCTGTCAGGATGACCTCCATGCCAACGAAGAGCGGCAGCAGCCCCGGCATTTTTGCGGTAGCGCCGATGTTGGGCTCCGCGCGCATCTCGTCGTAATCAGGCTTCGCGAGGCGCGCAGCTGGTCTGTCGATTGCTGGGACGTAAAAGAGCAGCTGGCCAGCATCGTGCGCATCAAGCTTGGCCTGTGCATGCATGGCGTAAGAGACGATGCGCCACTCATAGGCCGACTCGTACCAGCCTCGTGCTGCACGCAACCGAGGGCCCACTGAGGTGGCTGAGCGGCTTGGCTGCTGCTGGCAGCAGGCTGAGCAGCACCGCTAGAGCTAACGACCTCTGTTTTGACGATCGCCTGCCAGCTCTCGTCAGAGATCTTTTTTCCGCCTGGAGTTCTCATGGCGTGGAGAACCTCGAGTTGCAACGGGTCTGTAAAGCGCTGCATCTGCACGAAATCGATGACGTACTCGATGTCGGCGAGCAACTTCCTACCCTGTTGGTGTTCGTAGGATTGGCCCGCGTGAGGCGCCAGCAGGGAAGCGGTGGCGGGGACTGGCGGCAACTGGTAGAAGTCTCCGCACAAGATCTTCACAGGCATGCGTCCCCACGTCTCCTGCGGGCG